TATGCTGGGTTTATTCCAAGGCCTTACCTGACTTTTATATAATTAGCTTGGGATTCCTAAGAGAACTATAAAAATGATAGCTAAGGTAGATACCATCTGTTCTAGTGACACCATCCAGAAAGGTTGTAGACGTAATTCAATTTTCATGCTCTAGAACAATTATGGTTAATCTTTTTGGCTCCTAGTGCTGAAACTAGAGCGGGTGTACGCATCAGAGCAGCAGAACATTGAAACCCGGAAGACAGCAACTGGCCAATGTGCATGCACATGGCAGCCAGCTGCTCTTCCAGGTTCCATCACATGCATGCGCACTGGCCAGCTGCTCTCTTCCAGTGCCTGCAAGTGCCTGCGTGTGTGCCAGGTCTCTTCCAGTGCACTGCTCAGTGCCTGCATACGCAGTGCCTGTATGTCCCTGCATCCGCACTGGCCAGCTGCTCTCTTCCAGTGCACTGCTCTCATCTAGTGCCTGCATGTGTGCTACCCAGCTGGTCTTTGCGCAAAGACCAGCTGGCCGGCGCGCATGTGCATGACGGAACCTGGAAGAGCAGCTGGAGATGGCGCATAGTTGCCTTTTGAAAAACACCTTTGAGACCATTTTTATAACCCCACGTAATCTGAATTTTCAGAGTGGTGTATGATGGATGAAAAACAAGGGCATAAAGGTGATTAATACCACCTCAGGTTGAATGCCCAGAAGCAATTAATTAGGGTTAAAAACACCATGGAGCAGAACTAACTTTTCTCTGCAGAGCTTGGTCACTGGATTGGTTGTTTCATTGTTTTGGGGAACTCTTGCATCATGCTGCTTCCTGGTTCTATACCCTTAATCAAGCATAAGCCACAGGACTTTCATGTTAGCTTCTCACATCTGTTTTTAAGCTGATCAGAAGACCAGTTTTGCTGCTCCTCCCTATTACAAATATCCAGATTTTTTTTCTAGGCAGAAAATAATCTATAAAATGTTGTTGGGGAATGGAGAACTCCATGGGTGTTGTTTCCCGTTAATCAGTTGTATGTGCACTGATGGAATTTCTCTGTAATGTATGACCCAAGTCAGCAGAGATTAAAAAAAACAACAAAGCTGACAAAAGTAACAATGCAATGAATAGCTCATTATAACATTACCATCATTTATAATTCCAGGATTGCTCACCAAACCACAATGTACAACAGATGAGCACTGTAATAAGGCAAAATTCCTAATTAGCCACTCACATTGCAAAAACCACAATTTTTTAAATCTTAGTTTGCTCATGTAGGCATGATGGCTGGGTTCATCAATAGTTTTCAATTCACAAGAGATGGATTCACAGATTGCCGTAACAGGCAAACCACTGATTTAGTTCAGTGTTATTTTCTTAGCAAACACAAGGTTGCAACATTGTAATTGCTAACGTTCTATGGAGAAAGGAGAAGAATTGTGAGGAAGACTAATTAATCGCCTACCAATTTTGACTTGAGAAAATTCCACAAGGTTCTCTCATACCTTTCCATCCATTAGAGTAATGTGATAGAATTCACAAACCTCCCTGTATTCCATTTAATTTAACCATGTGAATGTCATCTGTTACTATGATGTCTAAAAAACAACTCAGAAGNTTTCATTCATTCACTGGGACTGGAGCCAGAAAACCATCTACAGATCCAAAATACAGGAGAACTACCTTTTATGGAGATATGGAAACCATGACTACAGAATTCTTCCCTTTATTCTAGTGCTCTGCCCTATCTTTTATGGGAGAAACCACTGCTGTGTTTAATTTGTATACTCGGAATCCAAGTGCAGTTTCTGGCATTTGTAGGTTGAGAAAATCAGGTGGTATAAATCAGATACCATGTAGCTGTCTTGTCATCAGCAGCAGCTGGCATTATCGGATATGGGCTGCTAAGATCTAGACTACTGCAGGATAGAAGTGAAAGCGTGAGTTTTTGGTATGCTTTGTTGCCATCTACCAGTCATCTGAATAACCCTCTTCTGCTATCATTCACATCAATGTGTATTTAATACATTTTTAAATTCAGAAATATTTTATGAGTAGCTACTAAGGTATTTGGCCACATTTTTGTGAGTGAACTTTTTTAGAAAAAATATTATTACCAGTATGTGGCAAATTACATTAGGCGAAAGAGCAACTTGAATAATTCTACAATTAATGTCTGTTTCTTCAAATTGTTTGGAGGGTTACCTTTGTTAAAACAGGATTTTTTTTGACGGATTATGTTAATCTAAAAAAAAGTCTTTTGCAGTTGTTCTATTGAATCTGGATGCCCAACAGTCCTTTCTCCTTAAAATACATATTTTATTAGTAATCTCAGCTTTATTTTTGTTCTCCCTTTCCTCTTTATAAATTCTTATTATTAATATGGTATTTTAATTACATCTTAAGGAGATACGTGCTTTATTTCCGAATCTCCTTGCATTTAGTTTGATCACCGACCCTAGTTCTAATATTTCAAGAAATAACATAAACCCTTTCCAGTGGGAGAAGAGTGCCTGACAATGTTATAGAATAAAATATACTTCTATTTTCATGTATCTGAGTATGTTGCATCAGTCCAAACTATGTGTGCCATTAGTGAGACCACAGTGTTTCTGAAATTGACACACTTTAGCAAGTTGCATACATGAATATCTGCTTCCTTATATTTTGTTGCCTTTCCTGAATATGACTCTGATAAATTCAGAAAGATATTTGTCAAGCAAAGCAGGCTTGCAGCAGCACAGTTGAGCATGTAGAATAAGAGATCAGAGGTCTCTAATCTCCTTTCCCAGAATCTTTTATTTTTGTTTTAAGTACTTTTTATTCAAGGTTTACAAAGAACATAAAACTTAACATGAACTAAAAACAGGGAGAGAAAACAAAGAAAGACGAAAATGCAGAAAGAGAATGAAAAGAAATAGAAAAAATAAGTCTCTAATTTCTTCTGCAGAAAATAGAAGTATATTTACAATATTAACTCTTATTTTATGATTACAAAAAAAGAACTTTTTTTCTATTGCCCAATTTTTTTCTAATCATCAAAACCATAAATCCAGAGTGTATTTTTTTCTGATTCTTTGGGTCGTCACACTTTGGCTCTGTCTATCTGCCTTGAAAAGTGGCTGGAAATTATTGCTGCTATCGCCCATCTTCCTAAGGATGCCTTTACCCGCCATCCTCCCTGTTAACTTTGCCTTGTGAAATACATAGGATTCCCACAGCTGTGTAACTTATAAGTAAAAGCAAGTAAAAGAAGAAAAAGATAGAAATAATTAAATTCATTCTATGGCGCCACCTCCTGGCCTTCCTATTTCAAGGTGTAGTAATTAGACAATCTCCCATTCCTTTGCTGGATGGGGTGGGGAAATCAATCGCCCAGAGAATAATTAGATCAATGTAAAAAAAAAATCTTTTTTAACTTTAGCCACATGCAAAACAATCAGCGGTAGAAGAGATAGAAATGAAGAGCCATTCAACAGTGTGTTATCCAATATAAATAAAAAGATAGGGGATTCTGATCAGATCATCAGATGATTTTCATCTGCTACTAAAAACATCTGAGTAACTATTTCAGTATATAACTTTTCTACTTTAATGAGCTATTGGTGGTGGTGGAAAGAAGGGAGAGATGCAAACAGGGCCGGATAACCTGTCTGCTACCTGTGCTGAATAAATACCTGATTGAAAGGGAGCGGATGTTGATGCAGTAACTGGCTCTTGGTATCTGCCTCCGCCCTCCTTGCCTCCTTTGATGCTTTCTCTCTTCTAGTTCAACAGATGCCACCCAGACCTGCTGTTTGTTTTCCCATTTGTGCCGGGGCAGGAAGCTGAGTTGCCAAACAATGGGCAGGCTTGCCGATGACTGAAAAAAGAAAGGGGAAAAGATTTATTGCTGTGGGTGGGTTGGCCAAGGGACATGTGTTCCTTGCTTTAGAAGCTGCCACCATTGTCATGACTTTTCAACAGCCAGGAAGGCAAGTGCAGGCAAAGTGGTGGTCAGGCCGGGGGCGGGGAAATTGCCCTCATGATAAATAGCAGCGGGGTGGAGGTGGGGTTGTGGGCTGGAAGGAGAGAACAAAACAAAGATTTTCAGACTCACACACTATTCTGTCACTAAGAGTTCCTGTCACTAAAATAATGGTCGTTAACGGAAGAACCTTAATTGGGTCTGAAACCTCATGTTGACATAATTGGTGTATTTTGAGAAGTTCTGCAGGCCACTCTGTACAAATAAAGAATGTGACCCTCAAACAGCATTTTAACTGAAGCACTTTTCTTTAAGGCAACTGAAGAAATAGAGGGATTACGTTTTTTCACTCAGTGAACAGATAATCTTATTTCATGTTCATTTATATTCACAAAATGTTGGAGCATTCCTGGATGGAACAGAACATTGCTACTACTAACCTGTATATTTTTACTGGCTACTTGGATAAATTACATCATTCTTCAGTGGCGAATGTGCTCTTTTGGCTACTCCAGTTATATTTTAAAGCAAATAAAGTTTAGGCTATGTTGTGAGATAACTTTAAGTTATGGCTACAACTGGGACCAGAATTGATGTCACTAAGTGAGATGGTTGTTAAGTGAGTTGCACCTGATTTTGCAATCTTTTTTTTGTCGTGGTAAAGCAATTAGTGCCACTGTAGTGTGAAAAATGCAATTGTTAAGTGAATCCAGCTTCACCAATTGGCTTTAGTCTTTGGAAATTGGCCGGGAATATCGCAAATGGTGATCACATGACTCCGGGAAGCTGCAATCATCCTGCATACATCCCGGTTGTCAGGTGCCTGAATTTTGATCTGTGACCACTGGGATATTAGTATGGATTGTAAATCACTTTTTCACTGTTGTTGTAAGGTTGAACAGTTGCTAAACAATGGTTGTAAGTTGAGGAGTCTGTATTTTATGAAACAAAATACCAAAATCCCATTTCAGTGAGATAGTTGCCAGACCTTTTCTCAATATAAATCATTCTGGAATGTTTTGATCTGGGCTATTTTACATCTCTGGGTTAGTAATTGACTTCTACTCCTACTAGAATTAGATATGCATGCTTTTTAATGCTTGAGCAAAGGGGGGGACCCTCCTCTTATTTTTGCAGCATCTGGGAGAAAGATTGTGTTTAAAAGGCCAGGCTCTGGTCCTGTCTCACTGTTGAAGCAGGTGTCAGATGATGACATGTCTTTCCCTCTTCATGTCAATTGCTCTGCTATAATGCCTTCTTACAAGACTGAATGATCTGGAAATCATTTTCATGAATATTTCAGGCTACAGCCAGCCTTGTTCTTGAGGATGTCTTCCCATTGGCCTCAGTTTTCATATGTACTTGGTACCCCCTTTCCACTTTGAAATTCACAAGATCCACAAGATGTGTGGATTAACTCCCAAAATTCCCCAGTTATTATCATAATAAAGCATATTAAAAGATAAACCTTCCCACAGAAAAGTTTACAGTTCAAATAGCATTATGAGGAAAAATTTAAGTTATTTAATGACGCTAATTTGAGAGATAAGATGAACTGAAAGTACTACTGGATTTTTGCAGCTTTTAAAAAAGTATTTACCCATATTTTCAGAGTATGAGATGCACCTTTTTCCCTCAAAAAAGAGGCTGAAAATCTGGATGTGTCTTATACACTGAATACAGCATTTTTTGCCTCCCGAAACCCCACCCCTTCACCAAAATTGCCGTGCATAGCCTTTAGGAGCTTTCAGAGTGCTCCTGGGGACTGGGGAAGGCAGAAATGAGAGAAAAATGGGCCATTTTTTTTTCTCGATTTTGCCTCCTAGTCCTCTGGAGCACCCTATGAGCCCCCTAAAGGCTATTCATGTCCTTTTTTTCAAAAACAAAATGGGCTCATTTTTGGGAAAAACGGGCCATTTTTGGGAGGTCTGCAGAGTGCAAAACCTTTTTTTTTAATTTGCCTCTTCAAAATCTTGGTGCATCTTATACTTTAAACATTACGGTAGATTTTTATCTTAAAAAGTGAAGATCATTACATAAAAGCAATATCAACAGAAAATAGAAACAGTCAATGATAGTATCGTAATTATTGCATACTGTTGGAGTTTGCTTGATAGAAACTCTTAACTAACTAACCCACTAACTTTGCATACATTTTTCTGCTGATTTCATATAGTTTTTTTATGGGCATAATTTGCAAAAGTTCAGCATAAGAATTCTTTTTTTGTGGTGTAGAGGTGAATGTGCAAAGTTTTCACAAAGTTTTATTCTGCCATTGTTAAGTGTCTGGATTTCTCCATCTGGAATCTATTCATCTGTAAAACCTATTAGATGATGTTGGAAAACGTTAGCTGACAAGTTGGACATGAAACCCAAATACCATCTGGGGGTACTTCTATTTTTTTTTATCCACATGAAAATCAAATACTGTAATGTTTCCAGAAATTTTCAAGTTATCTCCTAATACTCCAAAGCCAAATCAAATTTTAGAAAGAAACTCATTCCTTATACAACCACAACTCCAGAGTTTGAAATGGGTTTAAAATGAATTGGATATCCCAACTTCCACCACTTCTGATAGGTCATTGCCCTATTTTTTTTTAAAAAAAGGGGGGGGGGGAATTGCCCACTCCTGGCTAAAATTGTGTTCTTTATGGTTCCAGGAAGGAAAGCAATGTAACAAGTAGTTGGGGTAGGTGATATTTGATTGACTGATTATATACCACCAAGTTGTTTTGGACTCCTGGCATCCACAAAGATTGGAATAAATAAGACAATATAATTGGGGCCAGAAACATCAAAGAGAGTAACTGACTCATGCCCCTTAGAAAATAAATATTGCTCCAGGCCATACCTTGTCATGCAACATTTACAATCATATTAAAGTTGAAAAGCAATGTCCATAATTGCCACGGCAGGAGAAAATGTGTAAGCTTTATACCTTATACCTCTCGTTTTCAATTATATGCCTTCTGAGAATGGATTCCACATTGACTCATTTTCCACACTGACTAATCCACAGATGCCATTGCAATATACCATGAGAAGTCTTGTTATCACCTGTTAAGCATGCAGAGTTGTAAACATCTGCAAAAATTTCCTGCAGCCTCCTCACTCTCTATTTGGGTTATGTATTAAAGGCAGGAAACATGAAGGTAATTGTAACTGAAAGCTACCCTCCCCATCACTGTGGGCTCTGCCAATAAATACTGGGATTATTGCTGTTTTCCCCAAACCGCTCTTTGCCAATCTACCTCAAGGGTTGGCAATGGATTAAAGGTATAGCCCTGCCAAACTCTGGGGAATGGACAATTTGCTTCTGTACTGTACATTTCTGTGAAGTTCCAGAAACCATGTTGGGAGCCTCATATCTCAGGTTTTTAGAAATAGTTGCAGAAAGTTGTCCTATTCTCTTCAAGAGCCAATCAAAACCTCCTTTTTCTGCAATTGTTAAAATGCCCTCAAATAACTTTTCTTGATGTTCCTTAGTTTAGAGGTTTATTTAGAGGTTTATTGGGATTTATATGCCGCCCTTTTCCCTGAGGGGACTCAGGGTGGCTTACAACCACAGGGGAGGGGAAGTGCAAGGTCAAAACAAAACAATTGGTGAACAAAAGAAAAATAATAAAACACAACTTTCATTCAGCAATCAAACACTCGGGCGGGNAAAGATGCCAAATTTGAGAAATACTGCTCTAGTACTTGAAAAATATGGATCTTGTTATACATTATTTCCACAAATTTGGATAGGGTTTTCTGGGTACTTCTTTATCAGAGGTTTTATTTATTTATTTATTTATTTATTTATTTATTTGTTTGTTTGTTTGTTTGTTTTATTTGTATGTTTATTATTTAGCCATCCATCTCTCCTATAAAATGATTTTGGGTGGAATTAGATGTAAAATAATCAATTGCACCAAGTCATTTTTATACCCATTTTTAAGGCCAACTGGGCATTATCTTGTCCCATTCAATCTAATGAAGGATAATTTGCTTAAAAATCCTTCTTGGAGAAGATATACTTTTGGAGAAATTGTTCATGGACAGAGTGTGGAGCTCCTGCACCTTCTAAATTAAAAGGTAATCCCAGGATATGTGTGAGTTTTTCTGCAGGTAATTATTTTTTCAGTGGACATGGGCTTCTCTATTTTCCATTTTTTTCAATCGGATTCTCAGGAAAAATTCCTTCCACTGAAATTCTCAATAACTGTGTTAATTTGCCATCAAAACAAGGCTTGCTCTTATGAAATTGGCCATTCATAGCCAGATTTGGGTGCAGGGGATAATTAGTTTTGGTATAAAACGAACACGGTATTTTCTGCTACTGGCTTACATTTTGTTTTTATGGTTTTTAATTTGCTGTAAACCTTAGCAATTATTCAATTTGAAAATGCAATTTGAGTTTTTAAAACCAATCATCTGCTTTTGATTCAAATTAACTGGTAAGAGGGTAGTACCCATTGTAGAAATATAATGCAGGAATGAACATTTATTACAGACCATGTTCTGACGGACAAAATTTATTTATTTGTATCCCACCTTTTTTATTTTTACAAATAACTCAAGAATGGTGAACATGTCCAGCACATCTTCTTCCTTCCTCCTATATTCTTCACAACAACAACCCTGTGAGGTGGGTTGGGCTGAGAGAGAGAGAGAGAAATTAGTTCAAAATCACCCAGCTGATTTTCACGGCTAAGATAGGACTTGAGCTCAGAGTCTCCTCTTTTTCTAGCCTGGTGCCTTAATCACTAGATTAAACTCGGTCTCTTCTTGAGATTCTGATTGTGATAATAACCTGATCTGATCAGTAGGTAACAACCCTTATGCCTGGTTTCTTGCCATTGTGCTTTCCTCCAAATGATGTACTTTTAATTGCCCCTCTTCTTC